AGTCTTTTTGTTTGAAATACGCAGATGTGTGTTTGTTCAACAACTTCACTGGTGCTTTTTGTTTTAATAACCAAAATAACATATATCAAAGGAAAAATTCATAATTTTTTGAGCTTCCTTTTCCTTAGAATAAATATAAATTTAATTTAATGCTTTTTGTGTAATAGTGAGTAAGTAGTGCTAATAAATAATTTTGTGGAGCTCTAGAAGCACTTCTGATGTTCTGGTCATTATTTTGATACACATTGCCTTTGACTGAATAAAGTATTTCCTTTATTACATATATTTTAAGAAGGCTTAAAATGAGTTCCCATTTTGGTCCTTTGGTTATTGCCCCGCTTGTGTATTATGTAATGCCTAGTACCTTACTCTTTGTATCTCTCATAAGCTGCCTCAAGACTGTCAACACATCACATCCCCAAATCTAATTCTGAATTTCCCATAACTTTCCGTTCACACCGTGCGTGCACGTCGTGGTCCCAGCAAGGGCTGCATCCCTAATCCTCGCAGGGAGCCTACGGCCGGTGCTCAGGCCTCTAACTTCGGAGGAACCACACTGCTCCAGCTTCCCGTGCCAAGTCCTGAGTAGCTGTCCTTTTTCTTCTGCCACAGGGTCTTGATTCCTGTGGCTCTGGAGTAACTTCTGAGCTCAGAATGTGTGAGTCCTCCAACGAGGTTCTTTTCTGAGGCCGTATTGGCTCTGGTAGGCCCTGCGCATTTCCATATGAACTTTCAGAGCAGCGTTTCATTTCTGTAAAACATCCCACTGAGCCTTTGACAGGACTGTGTTTTTTTTTTTTAATATTTTATTTGTTTATTTATTCGACAGAGACAGCGAGAGAGGGAACATAAGCAGGGAGAGTGGGAGAGGTAGAAGCGGGCTCCCTGTTGAGCAAAGAGCCTGATGTGGGGCTTAGTCCCAGGACCCTGGGATCATGGCCTGAGCCGAAGGCAGAGGCTTCATGACTGAGCCACTCATGATAATCCTAATACAGGGAGTGCATTAAATCCGGACATCAGTTTGGAGAGTATTGCCATCGTAATATCAAGTCTTCCAGTCTATGAACATGGGACACAAATAAGCTTTTTACATTAAAAATCAGTGTCAAAGTGAAGACATTGTTCAGACAAGCAGTCGTAATGACTGTGTGCCCGGCTGGCTTAACTGCTGTTATGCCTGGAGATTTAGCCACGGGGCTGTTGGAAGCGACGTCTTAGAGCCCCGCCTTCTCCTGTTTCACCAGCCTTGCTTAGCACCACGTTGCTTTGCCGTGCCCATCCCTGTTTGTGGGAAGAATGAGCATTTTCGGGCCAACTAGCATTCAGAATTACTTAGCAGAAGGTGTCCGATCTATTCATTGTTCCTCGAGTTCTGTGGCATGGGCGAGATGTTCTCGAATGCCAGGAGGAGCGTTTGCCTCTGCCTCCTTCAGGTGCTCTGCGGTGAAGCGCGGGGGCGCAGTACGTCCTAGCTTTCACTTCTTAGCCTTCGATCACAACAGTTTGATTTCGTAGATGCAAAAGGCTCATTTTTGTTCCAATGTTTTAAAAAGTTTTCTATGGCGTGACATTAAAGGCAGAGGAACAGATTTTGACTGCACGCAGGTACGCGGCCATCCGTGAACTGTATGTATCTTTCCTACTGCAGACGGGCATTGGCTCTTTTACGTTCTTGTTAGCCTGTATTTAATCCTAATGTATTTAATTAGCACGTATTTGATTTAATTTAATTTTATCTATTTGTGTGAAAAACAAAATTATTAAAACATATATATATACTTGTATTATACATAAAATATATGAGCAGTATATATAGTATAAATAAAAATGTGCATGTGTGTGTATGTGGACCTGTGTGTATGAAGTGGCCCTTAATACCTTGTGAAATATCAGCGAACACAGCACTTCTTTCTTGTTTTAGTCTCTATTTTTGAATAAAAAGAAGCCTCTCACCTTTTTAAATTCTACCCCCCCCTTCACTTGCTTCACTGTTAGTCTCCTGATTGTTCGCTCCCACATGCTATTTAGGTACGAAGAGATGTTGGTTTATTTTTGTCCAAGACACACCCTTTCCAAAACCAAAATACTGTTTTCGATGTCACCTCTTCAAGACCGTCCCTGGAGATGAGGATCCGTTGCTTTATGTTGTCTTGTGTTTCAGTATGTGTTATAGATTTAAGGTGGTGGGTTTGGTAATTCTGATTACCTCAATTGATCAGGATTGTCTTTGATGATTCTTTTTTTTTTTTAATTTTAATTTTTTTCAGTGTTCCAAAATTCATTGTTTATGCACCACGCCCAGTGCTCCATGCAATCCGTGCCCTCCTCAATACTCACCACCAGGTTCACCCAACCCCCCACCCCCCTCCCCTCCAAAACCCTCAGTTTATTTCTCAGAGTCCATAGTCTCTCATGGTTCATCTCCCCCTCCTGTGGTTTCGCTTACTTGTCTTTGATAATTTTTGATGCCTTGCTTTTTCCATGAGGAAATAATGTCAGTGGAAATAATGTCAGAGAGTGGGCAGTCCTTATAACAGCGCCGACTGAATACAGTGGGGGCTGTTTGTTCTCCCTTCACTCCCCGGTGTCTGTACACACGGGTGTGTTGAGGGGGTATCATGGAACACCAGTGGGAGATCTCCAGAATTACGGGACTGATTGGGAGGGGCTCACTCAGCTAGTGGGGGAATTCAAAACATGGTCCTCTTCCTTTTAATTGCCACAGAAGTGGACATGTGTTTCGTCCACTCCCATATATTCTCCGGTTACTTTGTCAACATGATGCTATTATTCCAAGGATATTTATAGAATCAAGAGACTCTACAATCTCCCCCTTTCCCTCGACTGTGCCTAGTATTGTTGATATGCTTACATGTAAGGATGGAGGTCTTAACCGTTGATGGCCAGCTCATCTCCTGGTGCTCCCCCCTTTTCTGTCGAATCTCTCACTGTCTCTGCCTCTAGGAGTCGTGTGAGGGCCTCAGAGTAGCAGGCCAGTGGCCAGTACAGAGGACATGAGAGCTGCTTATTCAGTTTTTACTTAGTACAGTGATGATTAACAGTAGGGATTTGTAGAAAAAGCAAGTCTGGTAATTCAGCAGTGGCAAGAAAGAGATAAGCTGTATATGCATATTTTCACAAACGTAAGGTCTATTTAGTCTAAGTCTAAGGTTTATTCAGAAACTGAGTATAAAGCTTGACAGAACCCTAGCCAAAGGCAAAGCTTATAGAAGCTGAAAAAAATCTCTGGTGTTCTGGTTCTTCTTATTTTTAAAGGTGTTTGTTGTTATGAAATTTTTAATGGAAATAATATATAATCAAAGTATATTTGGAAAATGGAAGCAGGCATTGTTGTGTAGTTGCATTCCCATCTTGCTGTGCTTTCTGGTCCAGCTATAGAGGGATTTGTCTGGTTTAATCTTTCTAACTCTGTACATAGTTGGGCACGTGCTTTTCAGGTTCTGTCTGGGGATGGATGGGATTCAGCCCAAGCTTCTCCAAGGGGCTGGCTTGGATCCAGTTACAAGACTGTTCCGTTACACAGACGCCCGATCACGAGGACAGTATTTGCATTTCTGCTTCATCTGGGTGTCTCTAGGAGCGGTCCCTGTCCCTCCACGTCGGGGGAGTGCTGTTCCTAGAGCTGCTGTCATGAGCTCCACTTGCTCTCCTGATACTCCTCCACTCTCCTCTCCGCGTGCGTGAAGGGACGACGTGTGTACCGGCTCTCGGGATTTCTGATGTTGCCTTTACCCGTGAGTGACAGTGTCGGCACGGTGCGGTTGTTGGGCTGTAATCGCTCTCGCTGTCCTCACCAGTGTTCTTCGAGCACCTCCGGCGAAGTCAGCTGCGCAGAGTGTTACACATAAGTGTAATCCCACCTGAGTGTTGGGGCACAGACCCTCGCGAAGCTTCCGCTTAGGACCTTTCATCGTCTGGTGACATGCGAGATGGGTTTGCTAACTACCGTTTTCCTACCTCATTGGTCATGGAAGCTTCACTTCAGACAATTCCTGCAAGAATTTTGTGCTCGGCGGTACCCTCCAGAGATGCTGATGATTCTGTTGCTTGATTTTTTTTCTTCTGGCATTTAATTTTGCTCTGTGGGAAATTTGAGGCCAGCCTGATTTTTTGTTTCTAGTTAAGTGCACACCCTGTCCCCTTCCCCGGCCAGCCTGCCTGCATGTGCGGTGCCCGTTTTAGTACTGTTCTAACAGAGACAAAGAAAGCAGCTGTGTATGTGTTCAGAAAGGGTCTAGGTGTGCAGTGTCGGATGCCCAGAGTCGCAGAGGGAGGAGGCAGCAGGTGGAAGAGCGCGCTTCCCGGAGCTCAGGCCTGCTCCCTGGCATCCGGGCACTTCAGGCCTTGCCTTTCTGAACTGGTAGGAGAGCAGTCGGAGAGGACCCTCTCCCTACTTTCAGGACTATCTGGCATACGGAATACGGGGCCTCCACTGTATCTTTCAGCCCCTCGCGCTTCGAAACCGACACCAGCGTGGAGAGCTCCTGGGCTCCCGACCCACTGCTGCTTTTCTGTCTTCATGCTGTTTTAGAGCTCACTTGACAGAACTTAAAAGCCACAGCTGCTTTGTTTCCTCAGTGCTCTAAATTCAGTGAGGCCCCAGTGCTTTTCTTTGCACCACTCCTCCCTGGTGGAAGGTGTATTCTTGGGGTTAAGGAAACTCCTTCAGTGCCCTCAAGTGGCACCAGAATAATCTGATAGTAAAATCGTAGAACCTGGGATTTTGTGCTTCAGGTTCCACGTAGAACTGGATCACGAAGGTTAAAGACCAACCTAAAAATTAGCACCAGAGTTCACAGATACTACCAGCATCATGGGATGACCGTGTTACACGCGTGGAAATTACTGTACCAGGACAGCCCTCGACTGGGGCCTGGCCCACAGGAAGGCCTCCATACGTGTTAGCTCATATCCTCGTCTGTGGTCTCATGGTGCTGATTCGACCTTAACGTGGGTTACTTTTCTTTCTTTCTTGGTAGGTCAAACTGTGCTGAAAACATCCGAAAGCACATTTTACACACTGGCAAACACGAAGGAGTGAAGATGTACAACTGCCCTAAGTGTGACTACGGAACGAACGTGCCTGTGGAGTTCCGGAACCACCTGAAGGAGCAGCACCCCGACATCGAGAACCCGGACCTGGCTTACTTGCATGCTGGTAAGGGCTCGCACTGTGAACGTGGTGTCATTCATCCCAAGCGTGAGGATACTGTTTGTCCGTTACTGTCAGTTATTTTCACACAGTAGAGCATGTGAGAGCATCTGCCTCAGGACCTGGAAAAGCGCATTCTGGGCTCATCCCACCCGACTGTGAAAACGTGTCTTTTCTGTCGTGTGTCATCAAGAACACATACGACAAAATAATCCTCCCAGGACAGTAAAGTTAGTCATAGCGAATAGTCAACAGTTGGTTGACTAAAACGATAGCAGTTGTTTGAACTCCACGTTTTGACTAATTGGTAACAGTTTTAAGTTTTTTTCAAAAAAGGTTGGTGATGTACAACGTTATGCCCCATCCCCATGCACACAGTCCTGGGGTGAGTTCCCGGAGAGGGAGACCACAGGCCCCGGGGCGTGAATTGAGCAGCTTGAACGTCAGCCTCATTCCCCTATTGAGTGACTCCGGGCCTGTTGTGTACCCTTCTGCCTGGTGGGGACAGTAAGGGCTGTTAGCACAGCGTGTCACCAACTGCACTGGGTAATGCAGTGTGTGTGCATCACTCGTGTCCTAGAGATTAGGAGGGACTTGTCCACAGTGTGAGGGACACGGGGCTGAGGGCACAGGCTGGCCGCTTGGTCTCATGTCCCTGGGTCAGTGGCCAGACCTCATGCTCTGGAAGCTCAGAGAGGCGGCTCTGGGAGGGCTCAGCAGATCCATCCCTGTGTGTAGCCCAGCGTGTTGTTTAAGGACAAGCACGCCTTCCTCGAGTGTGGCGTTCCTACTGTGCAGAGCAGCAGGGGATGGATGACAAGTGTGAGGACACGTCAGAGGAAGCGCTTACCCTGAAGGAGATTTACAGAGAGTTCCAGAACATAGGCCAAGCAGGACTGTCCTTCAGTGATGCCAGCTGATACAGAGGATGTTTTAGGCAAATGCTATGGATCAGTTAGAGCCACGTGAAAACTCTCCTTTCTGTACTGGGCCTGTGACCTCCAGCAGGCCAGCCTTGTCACGCCTCGGGTTCCTCCTCTGTAAATCTCTGTGGCGGCATCCATTTTCAGGGTCGTTGTGAGGAGTGAAAAAGCTTATGGCCAAGCCCAGTACCTTTTACGCCTGCCTACAGAAGCAATGCTGAAGGGCTGGTGGGTCACGGTGCTAATGCTGGACATGTGACCATAGTGTTTGAAAGTCATGGGAAACCCCACCCGAAATGAAAAGTTATAGGAAACCCTACCCATTTGCCAATGTGTAAGTAGTGTTTGCTCAGATAACATTTACATCAAAAGAAATGGAACTTAACGAATGATTTGAGTTAGAAAAATATTCTTATTTATTCGATATTAATACATCTGGCAGTTTAAGGTTATTACTTGTTTTTTGCTGATGTGTTCTTTCAGATTTCTGTGCGTGCGCACATGACTGGCTTTTTAAGTAGTGGTAGAATGTCTGTTGTTGTAATCTGTGTTGTGTCCAGGACTGTTTTTGAAAAGCAAAAACACAGGTTGGTATTCCTTGCATGTTGGCGAGGTTGTTACCGAAATATTTTGAACTGGACAGTTTATAGCTTTAGCACAAGAACAGATAAAGTCAAATTGCAGTGTCTTCTGACCATCAGTTCCTATGGGTTCTTCCTTAAGTTGAGTCACGGCCAAACCGAGGCCAGAAATACTGCCTGTGGAGGGAGGCGCTTCAAGTAGCCACCAAGCAACATGACCTGAATTGACCAGGTGTCAGGGAAGTACCGGTTTTCAGGAGAGGCCCACTGTGCCTCTTTCTCGGGGCGCAGTGTCAGCGACTTCTGTCTCTCCGTTGCACCAACTGGGCATTGCAAATGGGTTGTTTCCCTAAAATAACGTCCTTACAATTTGTAGATGAGCACCGGCTGGAGGAGGAGGGAACTAATTGCAGAGCGTGGACGCACATTCTGTCTGCGGCTCTGCACAGCCTGCGTGGCCCACACTGTTGCTGCCCCAGCCGTGCCAGTGTTCCCTGGAGAGGTGTTTTGAGATATTATTAGTATGAGACAAGTTTCAGGAAAACTTAGTCTAGTTTCTGTGTGTATGTGTGTGACACTCACGCGCATATGGTCCTGGTTTTCGGTTTTATATTTGGATTCTGTTTGAAACTGTTTTCACGGAAGCCGCCGTAGCGAGCGTCCCTCCAGACCACACCCGTGCGGTAGCCGTGGGAGTCTGTCGTCGGTGTCCCCCTGGGCCTGGCACTCACGCTCTCTGGTAGCATTTTTGCTTGGGTACACTTAGCTCGGTTAAGAGAAAACTTTAAAAAAGTGAAGTTTTTTAGACTGTAACGGACTTTCTAACCTTGTGATAGTTAATCGTCTGCAGTACCTGCAGGGTGGTGGGAAAGGAGCCTTCCTCGGTCTGAAGTAAGACTCTGAACCGAGCTGCTGCGGCGCCTCATTCCACACCGTCTGGTGGCGGAATGAGGCGCCGCACCTGCCGAACCCATGCTGGGCGGGCGGTACCGGGACGGGTCCCGCGGCGGCATGAGGGTTTTGTGCAAGAGTGGTTTCTGGCCCGGAGGGGGACTGTCCACTGTGTTCTCTGCCGTCTACACTGTCCGTGTGCTGAGCGTCTCGTAACCCGGCATTCAGGGAAGCACATTGTGCAGTTCTTGTAATAAAGGGTTGAGTTTAAATCTACCCAAAAATAGATGAACAAACTCACTCGGGTCCTCACATGGTTCTGCCATGTGTATCAAACATCGAAAGACATTAGGAGGGACACATTAGGAGTAGGAGGACACATTAAACAATGGCCACGGGAAGTGCCATTTGGGGTATCTTCAATTTTAGTTGAGATAGTATTTGGAAATTTATATGTTCAAGTAAGGAAGACAGCTCTGGGGAAAGAGGCTTTGCTGTGATGGTGCACTTCCCCGGGTGGGGGACACAAACACGTTCCTGAAGTCCCAGAGGCGGTGTGACTTAGCCAGGGTTCCCTGGAGGCCGGGTCACGCCCTGGTGCGCCAGGTGGTAAGGTTGCAGCCCTCTGCATGTCCTCATGCTCAGAGTTAGGGACGTTCTGTGCTCCTGGGGGCATGTAGGCGTGACCTTCAGGAGAGGCTAGATCTGAACGTCAGCCCCATTCCTTTTTTTTTTTTAATCAATCATTTTTTTTTAATTTATTTTCAACATAACAGTATTCATTGTTTTTGTACCACACCCAGTGCTCCATGCAATCAGTGCCCTCTCTAATACCAACCACCTGGTTCCCCCAACCTCCACCCCCCCACCTCTTCAAACCCTTCAGATTGTTTTTCAGAGTCCACAGTCTCTCATTGTTCACCTCCCCTTCCAATTTCCCCCAACTCTCTTCTCCTAACTCCCCATGTCCTCCATGCTATTTGTTATGCTCCACAAATAAGTGAAACCATATGATAATTGACTCTCTCTGCTTGACTTATTTCACTCAGCATAATCTCTTCCAGTCCCGTCCATGTTGCTACAAAAGTTGGGTATTCATCCTTTCTGATGGAGGCATAATACTCTATAGTGTATATGGACCACATCTTCCTTATCCATTCGTCCGTTGAAGGGCATCTTGGTTCTTTCCACAGTTTGGCGACCGTGGCCATTGCTGCTATAAACATTGGGGTACAGATGGCCCTTCTTTTCACTACGTCTGTATCTTTGGGGTAAATACCCAGTAGTGCAATGGCAGGGTCATAGGGAAGCTCTATTTTTAATTTCTTGAGGAATCTCCACACTGTTCTCCAAAGAGGCTGCACCAACTTGCATTCCCACCAACAGTGGAAGAGGGTTCCCCTTTCTCCACATCCCCTCCAACACATGTTGTTTCCTGTCTTGCTAATTTTGGCCATTCTAACTGGTGTAAGGTGATATCTCAGTGTGGTTTTAATTTGAATCTCCCTGATGGCTAGTGGTGATGAACATTTTTTCATGTGTCTGTTAGCCATTTGTATGTCTTCATTGGAGAAGTGTCTGTTCATATCTTCTGCCCATTTTTTGATATGATTATCTGTTTTGTGTGTGTTGAGTTTGAGGAGTTCTTTATAGATCCTGGATATCAATCTTTTGTCTGTACTGTACAGCCCCATTCCTTTATCGAGTGACTCCGGGCCTGTTGTGTACCCCTCTGCCCGGTGGGGACAGTAAGGGCTGTTAGCACAGCATGTCACCCTCTGCACCAAGTGATGTGGTGTGTGCACAGTTACATGCGCCCACACTGCGCATCCAGGGTCTCCAGTGCCTCTGTGGGTAATTCGTGGTCTCACCTCTCAGTGACTTTCAGCAACTGAACAAATGATTTTGATATCGTTTCTCATTTCACACTCCAGAGAATTAAAGGCTCTGTGTGAGCTCTAATTTTGGTTATAGCTTTGTTCGAAAAACATAAAAGTGGTGATTTTTAAAATAAAAGTTGATTATTTAAAAATGTATTCGTTCATTTCCAGGCATTTGGGGATTTTTCTAGTTCTCTTCTTGCTAACTATTGAAAGAGTAATATAAATCGATTTCTAGCTTCCATCTACTATGCTTATAGAGCATAATGCTGAATTATCTCAATCCTTTGAAATTTGTTTATGCTTTCTTTGTGCCCAGCATTTGGTTAGTTTTGGTAAATGTTTGAGACATTCTAGAAAGGAGCATAAATAATGGTGCTGTTTGGTGTGTATTCTGTGCTCCCTGCCCATCAGTTAACACCGAGTTTTTCACTGTGCTGTTCAATTCCCTGCATTCGTACATGGTTTCATGCTACCTCTGTCAGCTACGAAGAGGGGTGCCATGCAGTCGCCCTCTATGATTGCAGATTTGTCTGCGTTCTCTTTTTTTTTTTTTAATTCTCTTACTTCTGGCTTTACGTATTTCAAAGATCCATCCCTGACTACTCAGAACTTTAATATTATTTCATACACATCCTCCACTATCATAAAGAAAATGTGTATATTCCTTATAATCACAAAATGTGCCTTTTCGTCTATTGTAGTGCTTCTTGCTGCCGCTCCATGTCTCA